CGCCCTGCTCCGCGGTACCCGGGTCCCTGTGCCCGGCTGCACGGTGCCATAACCCCGCAGACTGCTCCACCGTGTCCCCTTTCCCTGTCCCCTTCTCCTCGGTGTCCCCATCCCTGCACCCTGCTCTGCTGTGTCCCCTTCCCTGTCCCCTTCATCTCGGTGTCCCCATCCCTGTGCCCTGATCCGCGGTGTCCCCATCCCAATGCCCTGCCCAATCGCATCCCTGTGCCGGTGCTCCGCGGTGCCCGCATCCCAGCCTGCGCAGAGAGCAGCTGGAGGGGTTTGTAGGGGAGAATCCATCTCCCTGCTGCTGCTCTCCAGGAGGGTCTGGCTCTAAGGGCGCAGGCTGGGTCTGGTGTGCAGCTGGGAGCTGAGGTTTCACCTGCAGAACCAGACCAGGCTGTTTGGAAAGGTGTAGCTGTTGGGTTCTCGTGAGGGTGATTGCATCCTCCGGAGGGGCTGGATTCTCTTGGACCACTTTGCAGACAGACTTTTGCTGCCATCAGCTGGAGTTTTAGCCTTGGTTTTGTGGGCAGAGCTGGACAAAGCGCTCCGCACCCACACCGTGGATTGTATTTTCCTGTTGGTTAGGCACAAGCAGACTTGGGAGAGTTACAGGAACGTTTCTGGCTGGTGGGAGAGAGAGACCTCCAGACTCACAGGAGCACGTGGCCAGGCGAGGAGGCTTTGCTGTCCCCTGAAACAGCAGCAGCTCAGATGCACCCACATAGTTTCATTTGCCAGACCATGGGGCTTCGTGGGCTTCATGGTCACCTTCTTCATTTGAGAGACTAGAAAGGCAGTGATGAAAAACCCTATCATTTTTTTCTTAAGCATGAAAAGATTTCTTTAAGTTCTGTGCTTTAAAAGAGGAGTATTAGAATAGGCAGTGGCAACAGGTTAGAGGATCTTCAGTGGCTTTAAAGAAGCTGTTTTTCATAAACTCATAAAAAAGACAAGTATAGACTACCATATTTTGCACTTTTGAAACTTTTTCTGGTATGGAGCAACCATAATTTTATGATCCAGAGGAATACTCTGACCACTTGAGGTAGGGCAATGCTGCTCCATTTCAAAGCGAAAAAACAAACCGTCTGTATTTTAAGCTTGTGCCCTGCATTTCTTGCCTTCCCCGCAGGGAAAGCTCCCACAGCAGTCACGAGAATCCTGTGGGAGGATGGAGATGGTTGGCAGAGTTTGACTTACAGACTTCTGGAGAGGCATCACTAGTCTGGGGATCTGTGATTGTAAGGAAAATCCAGTCCCAGTATAGCCCTGGGAAAAGCTGCTGGCTGAGCAGTGGCGAGTTGGTATGTCTCTGTACGCTGCTGTCCTGGGATGTCTGCAGAAGGACTGGGGAGAAAGAAGGTTTCTTCACAATTTTTTAAAAACTTTCCTGCAGGTCAACCAAGTGTTGTTTTCCTCATGGTGGAGATACCACATATTCATCATTAGAAGATGAAATGTATAGCTACGTTTGGAGGAGAATAGAGGACTGCAGGCTTTATATCACCAAAATCCTCCTTACACCCTCAAAGCTGGGCTTGTGCAGAGGTTAGGATGGGCCTGGGCATCAGCAGTTCCCTGCTGGGCTGCGGCCCCGTGGGAATAGCTTGTAGGAGCAGGGTGGGCACATCGCCATCCCACCCTGTCCTGGAGCCAGACCTTCAGCTTCCGCAGCACTGCTGAATTCAGGGACTGAGCGAGGTCCCGTTTGTGTTTTATAGCAATAGAGTCGATTCGCTGTGACACAAAACCCCCTGTTGCTCAGGTAGGCAGAGCCATGAAGGAGTTTGGGGATGAACCTGCAATCCCCAACCCCACATCACCTGGGGATTTTACAAAGTTTATTTGCAGCTCACCATATTTGCAGTTTCAGAAGGATGTTTCATTTTGTGTGGCCTCCCCGTAAAGCCACTTCTTTCTCAAGGTTTACTCACATAGAATGATTATTTCTTTACTTGGCATATATTTAAGGTGGGTTTCTTTATTTCTTCCTCCTTTAACTGCTGCCATCCAGAGGCCAACCGTTTTGTTTAAATTAGCTATTGTTTAAATTAGATATTGTTATTGACCTTCTTCAGCCTTGTTTCATATTTGTCCTCTGCTAGAAAATCAAAGCCTCTTTATTCACGACTCCGTACATATGGCCCTTACAGCACTTTTCTCTGGCAAGAACTTGTATTTTAAAGAGAGGAAGATCAGATTTCAGTGTGTTATGTGGTGGGAAAATGCAGCTTTACAATGCTGTATGCATTAAGAAATTACAGGCCATTGTTTTGCCCTCGCTGCCTGGAATTGGCAGCGGATTTCATGTGACACAGGTCCCTTCCCTTGGCATCCCCTGGCACTACAAGAGCATCTCTGCGTGCCGGGCAGGCATCCCCCTGGGGTAAATCCCATCTGCACCAGTGACTCCAGTGGGGAAAAGTGGGTTTGCACCTGGAGCTCCCACCTTGCGAGGGGTACACGGGTCCCTCGTGTCCCCTCTTCCCCTGTGCATGTCATGCTGCTCTGTTGCCATCAAGTGTGCTCCTGCCCCAGCCCCTTGTGCTGCCCTTGGAGGGTCTGTTCGCACTCTGTGCCGTCCCAGGAGCAGAGGCTGTCCCTGTCCCCATGGCTTCATCAGATGTCACCATCTGGGGACAGACACTGTGTGTTCACAACGCTCTTCTCTCGGTTGCAGGGTTCCCAGCTGAAGGGCGAGACATGCGGTAGGAGCCAGCGCTTCCCACCCAAGAGCGAGACTCGGTTGTGCCACGCAGCCCGGGACGCCGCGGGAGGGACAGGACATGCGCCGCGTCGGCTGCCTCCTCTCGGCACTCCTCTTCATCCTCAGCCTGACCAGCACCAACGGCTTTCCCCTGGCAGGGTAAGTCCCTTTTTTGCCTGCATCTCCTGGCTGTGCCCGTCTGCCCATCACCGTGAGGCATGTCCTCTCTGGGTGATGAAGAGCCCTGCACATGTGCATGAGTGGCTCCCTGGGCTGGCAGGAGGTGGGAAAAGCCTCTGCTGAGTCCTCCTGGAGTCCTCCCGGGGCAGCCAGGGCTCGGCTCGGCAGCCCTTTGCTGGTGTTTGTTCACATCACTGAAGCAAAAAAGCCTCCCAGAGAAAATGCCCCATTTAGCTCCGTGTAAGGGGGACACAAAGCCACTCTGCCCTTTTTGTCAGGAGAGGCAAAAGCGAATCAGGCTCTGAGCTGTTCAGGCACTATTATTGTCTCTTTCAAGCATATCCTTGCACAAAAATAAGCGTGCAATCTTGCTATCATGCCACTCAAGCCATGCAAACAGACCATCAAAGGAGGGTGCATCTTCCCAGCACCGTCCAGGGGCCGCAGGCATGGAAAGCCCCGGCGTGTTGTTGCCTTCTGTGCTCCCTGGGATGCTCCAGTGGCTGCAGTCCCTGGTCCCACAAGCCCAGGAGTGGCAGCTCCAGTGATTCCCTTCCCTTGCCAGGAAAGGGCTCCAACACAAGGCCCTGGGTCCCAGCACAGCCTGGGCATGCACAGCTCAGCTCCTGCGGGGTCAGAGGCAGCCGGGAGCTCGGTGCCCCAGTTTCTTCCCCAGCCAAAAGGAGCTAAACACCCACGTCCCGTAGATGCAGCTCACATTTTCTACAAAGTTTGTTTTTATATTGAAATGCTCTCCTCTAGTGTTAAACTTTCTGCATTCTGGTCAGGACTGAAACCACAGGCTGAATTCCTCGCTCGCACGCACGCACAGGCTGCAGCTATAGCTTTATTCTAAATTTTGCGATGCAAACAATTGCCATTTAAAAATGGCATCTTCTATAGCATTAATCAGTGAGGCTGAGGGGAGGTTTCTGGAGTTAATGGAAGCCAGCTGATGTCCATGCTAATTCCCAGGCTTTTTATTCTAGTTTCTAATAGGGCTGGGAGGCTGAGACAAGTAGATGAGTTTCTCAGTGGGACTGACCTGCTTGGGCTGGAAAATGTTGAAAACAAGTATTTTTAACCAAGAGCACTTTGGCTGTTAACCTTGGGAAAGTTTTTTTAGTGGATCACAGTTATCTTAGAAAGACTGGAGGGTGACTTTCCTCTGGCCTCTACCATTTTGCGGTGATCCTGATTTCTCAGTGACCACCGGGACATTGTTTCAAGAGTGCAAAAGTCTCAGAAAGGAAAAAACCCACCCAGAAAGTGAGTGATTTTAGGGGAAGGGAGGTGATGAATGGAAGGAGAACTGCTTTCAGTAAATCCTCCCTAAATCTGGGCCATGACAGCTCCCCCGGGATGGAGGGACGGTGCCGGGGTGAGTGTACGAGGAGGCGTCAGCGCCTTCGTGCAGGGCTGGGGAGGAAGAGCCCGTGCAGCCTGCAGTGCTCCAGCTTTGTGTCGCTGCCCCAAAGCAGCTTGAAATAACCTCCTGGATTGCCTCACTCGGGCAATCAGCCACTGTAACAACCTCAGGTGGTGTAAACCAGCAGAGCCCCTTTGCCCCGACAAAGGGGGTTGGTTTGTAGCCGGTGCCTGACCTGCTCCTCTCTCCGCAGCCGCAGAGTCTGTGCCGCGGCCCCGCAGAGCCGGGTGGCTGCTTACGCCGAGTCCCACGTCCAGCCCGTCTACCAGCCCTACCTCACCACCTGCCAGGGCCACCGCCTCTGCAGCACCTACAGGTGAGGGCAGCTGCCTGCACCACCCCCCGGTCCCTGAGAGGGGGATGGATCCGTCCCAGAGAGGGGCTGCAGAACGTGGGAGTCCTCAATCCATGGGCAAGGGGCTTGAGCCCGTGTTCAGGGGGTGCCAGTGCAGAGGGTCCATCCGGCTGGTGTGGGAGCAGGGTGGGGGGCTTGGGGCGGATTCTCAGCCCCATCTTTGCATTGCAGGACCATCTACAGGGTTGCCTACCGGCAGGCATACAGGCAGCTGCCCCAGCCCACGGCCTCATGCTGTCCTGGCTGGAGCAGAGCAAACAGCCCTGCGCTGGGCTGCAACAGAGGTAAGAGGCTGCCGTGCCGCCCCGCTGCCAGCTCCCCCTTCCCCAGACCCCTGAGCCGGGCAGCTCAGGTCCCTGGACAAAGCCCCAGCTCTCTGTCTGCCAGGGGCATTTTCCTTGCAAGAAAGCATTTACATTTTCAGCATCACAACCAAATGTGGTTCAATTTCTGATTAATTCCCAGCCTTTCTCTGCTGCCTCGCAGGCCTTTTTCCTTTGGGATTGCTTATTAACTTTATAGCTACCAGAGGATAAATAAAACAAGTCAGTCCTTTCCATATAAATCAGCAGTAATGGAAGAGAAATGCTTTCAGGAGGCAATTGTGATGTACAGAACAAAACAAATGCAAAACGCCAGCAGCGAGTCCATCCCCAGATGGGCTCAGAGCAGTGCCAGGCACTTCCCAGAGCCTGCTGCTGCCCATCAGCCCTTCTCCCTCCTGGCTGTGCTGGCTGCAGGCACCTCAGCCTCTTTCCAGGCTGCAAAACCAAGGTCCTGTTCCCCCCACCCATCCTGCGCCTGGTGCACCCTGCTCAGCTCAACCCCACTGCCTTGGGATGGTGCAGAGCATCCCGGCTGGCACTGGGGTGTGTTTTGCTGTGTGTGTGTGTACCCCACAGTAGCAGGAGAGGGATCTCAGGACCCCCTGAGCTGCCCGGTGACTCTGTGCTGGTGTTTTCTCTCGCAGCAATCTGCTGGGAACGGCGGGAGCTGCGCCTTCCCCGGCAGATGCGCCTGCCCACCTGGCTGGACAGGGCGAGCCTGCCAGACAGGTAACAGCCACGATGCTCCCTGCCGGGCGAGCTTCTCCGGGGAGCACAGGGCTGCTGTGGGGCTCTGGAGCTCCTCTGCCCACAGACCAACCCCTTAGTGCAGCACAGGGACCAGCACCACGGCTCCTCACCGAGCCTTAACACATGCCTGGGGCTAATCCAAGCACAGAGGAGAACCTGTGTGTCACCCCTCCACCCACACACCCCTCCACATACTGCTCCGGGGCGGTGATGCCTGATGGGCTGGCCAGGAAAGGAGGGAAGCTTGGCTCCCAGAAAAGCTCAGCGCTCCCTTTGGCTGCACGGGTGCTCCCAGCCCTCGTGGGCAGCCCTGGCAGACACATTTTCTGTCCACTGCGGCTCCGTGCTGGGTCAGCGTGAGCAGCGGCTGTGCTCTGCCCTGGCTGTGCAGCTGTTACACTCCTGGGGTTGGTTGGATTGTGTGTTTGGAATGCCCCATCTCCCAGGCTTTGTAAACTCTCTCTGTAAACTAAGACGTTCATTTACTGCAGAGACTAAATCTATAAACCAAAAATATCTGGGGGTGGAGGGAAGCCTGGGGATCTCCAGGCACTGAGCTCCTCTCCAGTGTGAGAGCAGCTTGATGCTCCTCGCCAGAGCACAGGGAATCAGGCAGCATGGTGCACACCCCTGCCACGGTGCTCCCCGGCTTTCTGCCCTCCTGTAAGGCAGGGGACGAGCACGTGGCACTGACCCACGCTGGGCTGAGCAGGGCTGAGCGCATCGCTGACAGCTCCGGCTCCAGAGCAGGGGGGAAAGGATTTTTCCACTGCCTAAAACAGATTCACCCGGGCGTGGGAAGCAATTCAGCTCATTTTGCTTTGTGGGAACAGCTTTAATAACTCCCCCGTGTGAGGAGAGGTTACTGGGTTTTGTACACACTTGAAAGGCTGATAGCTCCTCGCCACGGCTGGCTGGAACCCCAAACCCCCAGCCGTAAATCCAGGATGAGAGCCGAGCACTGCCCGCGCCCGCCTGGCCAGAGCTGGGACATTTCTGACCACACCTTTTGTTTCTGGCCCTTTTGTGGGGGGATCTAGCTCCGTCTGGGCTCCCATCACATCCCTGCTGTGCCCAAGGCCACGCAGGGCTGAACCGTCCGTGCCCCCAGACCCCGGTAAGCGCCTCCTCACCGCCCCATCCCTGTGCTTCCAGACGTGGATGAGTGTGCCGACCAGAGCCACGCGTGCGGCCAGCTCTGCGTCAACACGGCCGGGAGCTACCGCTGCGCCTGCTGGGATGGCTTCAGCCTTGCTGCCGACGACAAGGCATGCCAGCCCCTGGTGCCACCCCCTGAGCCAGAATCCTTCAGCTACCCAGGTAATGTGTCCCCTGTTGCAGGACAGACCCGGCTGCGTGGGGCCTTTGGTGGAAGCTGGGATTAACACTGGGCGTCACAGGGTGGCTGGAGCAAGACTGGCGAGAGGCAGGAGAGGGGACAGCAGCCAGAACCCCTCACCTTTATTCCCAGCGACCTGGGAGTCCCTCTACCACGCAAACAACATCCTCATGCACAAATCCAGCCACTGCTCCATCTGCAAAGGTGACAGAGCCCATCCACAGCATGTGGTGGCCGAGATGCAGCTGTTCTCTCCGTCATTGTCCTTGTCCTTCCCGCAGGGCAAGTCCGGAGCCACGAGGAGCAACAAGCGCCGCTGGTGACGGCCCATTATTACTTTTGGTACGCGCTGTGACACTTCAAACTCGTACCGTGAGTAATAATGCGCTGTGGCCAGCCCAGGCATCATGCCATAACCACCTGGATAAAGCCACCTGCCTTTATCCCCTGTCCAGGGCCCTCAGCAGGGACAGTCCTTTGTGCTCACCATGGGACAGGGCAGACCCAGGTGCCAACTAATCTGACAACATGGGCACAAAAGGCCAGGCTTCGCTGGACATCTTGTCCTTCAAGCATCACCCGCTGCTTGAAAAGCTCCCCTGCTTTGTTGCAGGTGCTCCAGCAGCAAGGAGAGGCTTGTGCGCGTTAGCAGCAGGACTCGATGCCAGTGCTCGGAGCAGGCGTTGGATCCGATTGATGCTCTGGGGGCTGGTCCCAGTGGGGCAGACCCTGGGGGCTCACTGGGAGGGGAGCAGAAAGCAGCAGAGCTTGGCCTGAGCCCTGCTGCAACGTCTCTCCCCAGCACCTTCCACTTCACATCAGGCAATGGGCTTTTACTAACTGACCTTTTCTTCACCGTTTTTTCAGGTCCCCCCAGTGAAATGAAGGAAGAAATGAAAGACCTGAAGAGCAGAGTGGAAGCGCTGGAGCAGGTGAGCTTTCGGCACACACCTCTGTCCTGTGGCGGCTCAAGGCCACGCTCAGCCAGCTCCCACCGCAGGCTGTTTGCAGCCAGGGTTTCCCTCCGCCCCAGCTCTATTTTTAACGCCGGGCTGGCCTCACGCCACAGCAATCCCAGCTGTGCTCCACGCTGCCAGCAGTGCCCACGCAGCAGCTCTTCCAGCCCAGTGGCTCTTTGAACACAACCAGAGCCCCGCGAGCCGGGGGGGTTTGCCACGGCAGGCAGCGTGCTCTGTCCCACCGGGTGGTCCTCGGGGCTGGGGGGGACACGCTCATGGCTCCCCTTCTCCCTGCAGAAACTCCAGTTGGTGCTGGCCCCCTTCCACAACCTCATGCCGTCTGCACCGGAGGACATCGGCGCAGACCCCATCAGCCGGCTGTCCCACTCCCTCCAGCAACTGGACAGAATCGACTCCCTGAGCGAGCAGATCTCCTTCCTCGAGGAACGGCTGGAGACATGTAAGTGCTCGGAAAGAAAGTAGGGCTGAAGTATTTCACTCCACCCACGCTGGCCACAGTGAGCAGATGCAGGCCAGCGAGATCAGTCACACATATGCCACTATTAATCTGTATCTCCCTCAAGCTCAGCAGTCTGTAATTAATGAAAGATGAACACAAACAGCCCCTTAGCTTCATTTCAAAGCTGTTTCTCTGGCTGCACCATCTGACTGCCCTTTTAGCAGCCCAAAAATCATAAGATCAGCACATGGAAACATGTCTCTGGGGCAGAAGCAGAGGAGCCCGCTCTCAGCAGTGGGTCATGTCTCGCAATCAGCACCCTCACTGGCTGCGTCTGCTTCCTGTGCCGTTAGAACTTAGAAAAGAAACCCCAACTCTTGGGAAATTAACAGTCCGAAAAGTCAATCAAGAAAGTTTAGGGAGCGTGCAAAACTTGGCAGATTTACGAGCCTGGGAAGCTTTATGTATTTCTTTTTGAAGTCTACAGCCCCGTCCTTTGCCAAGCAGCAGAGCAGAGAGGGGCTCCTCAGTAGCAAATTATGAACAAGAGACACTAACGAGAGCTGCCACGTGTGAAATGGCTGAAGGCAGGGGGTCCTGCTTGGTGTGCTCCCCCGGGGCATCGCAGAGCCGGGCAGCATCCCCTCGGGTCCCCGAGGTGTGTGCAGAACCCTCTGCAGCTTGACTCACAGTAGAGCGCAAACCACATGAGCACGTTATTTTGACAGGCAGCTCTGCGCAGCTCCTTTTCCCATTAAATAACTCCAAACACAGGCAGAAATTCCACGGGGCTGGGCTGGCTCAGTGTGCGGCAGCCTGGTGCTCACGGCAGAGGGGTGAGGGTGCTCGGAAAGACACAAAGGGAAACTGTTTCAGGGAGCATTGAGTCCCACTTCACTGCTTGCAGTAATGGCTTGGATATAAAAGACTCCAAAGAACTTGTCTGAAGAGTAAGGAGCTGCAAATAGACACTTAAAAACATCTCAGGAAGGGGTAAGGGCCAGAACAACCGCGTGTTCCCGCAGGCTGAGTTTCCTGGTATTGCCCTGTACGTATTATTAGTGACAGCACCAGGGAATGTGAGCAGTATCACAAGGTAACATGGATTTATTCCAAGGAATGACTCCCAAGTCCCAAAATCAACTTCTGTCAAGCCTGTTCCAGCAAGTGAAACTTGTTTTTGTCCCTCTCATGGTCTTCAAAGTCCCTGGAGGACACAAGACTGTCCTTTTGTACTCCAGCAAGCACTGGGGATCCCATGGAGGGTTAAGTATCCATCCACTTTGTGCCTTGCAAAGCATTTCACAACTGAACACTAAGATAGAACTGCACCCCCCAGTTACCTGCCCCGTGGAGATGTGTGTAAGGACTAAAAATAATTGTCTTGTCCTTAAACCACCACTGAAGGCCCAAGGTCAGGTCTCTTTAAGTCATAAGCATTTCAGCCCCTCTAAACCTGGATGACCCCCAGCTCAGCACAGCTGTGCCACGCTCGGCTGTCACGCTCACAGCCAGGCAGCAGCGCAACAGACTCCCACCAGCACGTAGCTGTGCCGCAGCCACCCCACACGGTCCCTTCCCCGGCACACGGAGCTCTCCAGGCACTGGAGACTTGGGTGACCAGCAGCGCCTGCTTCCAATTACTGTCACACAGAGCCACGGGGTGTCTGCGGTGGTTCCCAGCCTCCCAGCCTGGACCAGCCAATGTCATTGTCACAGGCTTTCCCACCTTCCTCAGGACACTTTGTGCAGGACTTCCCGAGCCCAGGCGAGGCTGTTGAGGATTGCGACATGCTGGGGAAGAGAGAGTGATGCCCCCAAATGTGGCAGGACAGAGCCAGCCTGGGGGTGCTTGGCAAAGGGAAAGCAGCAAGTGTGGGTGACATTCACAGAGGCTGAGGTCAACCTCATCCTTCTTGGGGAAAGAGACAAACCAAACCCAGGCTAACATCGCTGGATTTTTTGTTTTGTTTTTTTTTTTTTTTTTTTCATTTCTCAGGCTCCTGCAAGAATGAACTCTAGCCGAGTGCCTGCAGAACTGGAGCAAGCAGAATACATCCATAGCTCTTATCTCACTCTCCAGCCGCAGGGCGAGGATGAAGCCACAACATTTACAGGAAGGCACAGGGTAGCAGGAGAAAGCTGGTTTGCCATCAGCATCTCCTTCATTTTCTCTTATAACTCACCTTACAAAACATCACACAGTTACTTCCAAACTGGACTCCGAGCCCTCAGCATCTCACCCCCTTCCTGCTGGAGTGGCAGAAAATAAATGCCTTACCTCACGCTGTTAGTGCCTGTCTGGCTGTGCCAGAGACTGGCTGTACGTGAAGGCGCGGTGCTCAGCTTTGCCTGGCTTTTACTTAGCATCACCCTGGGACATCACTTCCCAGGGAGCAGAGGGGGGTTGTGCTGCCTGTCTGCTTTGCAGGCAAAGGTACGGTGCTGGCTGGCTACAGGGAGCTGGTGCCCATCCCCGCAGCTTCTGTTCTGCTCTCTGGGCCCAGCCTCCCTCCGTGAGCGCTGGAGGGTGGCTGGTGCCTCGCCGCTTCTTGGCACGGCAGCAGCTTGCTCTGAAATTTCCTGCTCCAGCTCCCAGTCCTCTGTGCCACCCCTGGGCCCTACAGAGCAGTAACAAGGATGAAGCTTTTACATGTGTAGAGTCTGTTTTCACTTGCTTTAATAGAAAACCTCCCCCTGCGACATTCCCATCACTAGCACAGAGGGGACAGGGACAAACCTGTGCCATTCAGTGGTGCCAACAGGGCGAGGCCAAGGAGGGAGGGACAGTCCTCTGCAGGTCTGGACTGGGGACCAAGGCCTGGCGAGCCCCAGTGTTTACCCTGGCACGAGCACCCACTGTCAGAGTAGCCGGTTTCTCCCGGACCCGGCAGCCGCAGTGCTGTCAGCCCACACCATGTGCGCCTACCTCCCCCAGGCACTGTTTGCTCAAGCCCAAGGACACCGGTACAGAAGAGCAGATGTGACCAGCCTGGTACAACGCTTTCCTACTCGCCTAGAGCAGAGCTGCGGCAGCTGTGTGCCACATGAGGAATGGGGTGCTGCAAGGATTGTACCAAAATAAATCCTCCTGCTGCCCACACCGAGGCTGTGGGACCATTACTGGCTGGGAAGGTGCTTGCTCCAGGGCGCTGCTTTGCCATGGGCTCCCATCCACCACCTTCCTCTCGCCCTGTGACAGGTCCATCCAGGTATTTGTCCTCCTAGTTCAGGCCAGGCTGTGGCTCAGTGCGAGGCTGGGGTGGAAAAGCACAGCCCTTCTGCCTGTGGGGCACAGGGTGGGGACAAGGACCTGCCATTCCCCTTTGATCACCAAACCTACTTGCTGCAAGAGCTGACCGGTCAGCACCCTGCTCCCTCCCACAGCAGCCCTCCTCCCGCAGCTCCCACACAAGACCAGGAGACTCCTTTCTTTAAATAACCAAAGGTATACTTTCTTTTTTTTTTTTTTTGAAAAGCACATAACATTATTCTCAACCCAATTAAAAGTGAACAGCAGACAGACAACCGCACACAGAGGCACCGCTCCCTCCTCCCAGGTGAGGATCCTGCAGGATCCTGTGGTTATTGCCCCCAGGAGCCCTCCCAGAACCCTCCTGTGTTTAACCTCCATGACAGCCCTTTATCTGCTGCCCGTACAAAGTGCTGGTTCAGTTCCCATCCTCCCACCCCGACCCGTCCCACAGCGGGTCTGCCCCTGAGTCTGTACCATAAGGCCCCTCTGATAAAGCCCCCCCGGCCCCCACCAGCACCAGCTCAGCCCCAGGGCTCCCTCCCCTGGAGACTGCTGGCTCTAGGGGAGCTCCCTGCTTTTCCCAGTTGAGGCTTTAACCCCAAAATGCCACATGACCAGAATCCTACCAACTCAGCCCCAGCCAGGCTGCAAAAGTTGGCTGTGCTGGTTACCCGAGTATCCCCAGGCGGTTTATCTCATGGTTCTACACCCTGCCCCACGAACAGGGGAGCTAAAGCCTCTCTGAATCTGAGTGAGAGGTAATGGTCACCCTTGGAACCAGGAGCATCAACTGCAGCTCCCAGTGAGGGATCCAGGAGCCCTGCTGCTCCATCACCCCAAAGCACATGCAAAACGTCTTTATCTGAACAGGGGAAGGAGCCCATTTCCCCCAAAGGGAGAGCTGAAGCCTTCCGAGCGCCGTTAGTCACAGCTCACCCACCCTACAGCTCTGCAGGAGTTTTACAAGCCGTGCAGAGCAGCAGCTCCACTGCGATCAGCAGAGACACGTGGGACAGGCACCATCTTTTGGCTGCTGCTGACCATGACAAGTGGCAAAACAAGCATGACAGAGCCCTTTGCATCCATAACAAGTGCTGCAGGCAGCAAGATGTCTGCTGCGAGCGGGCTGAACCACCACCACGGCAGGGAGCTGGCAGCACAGTTTCCCAACACCAAGGCAGCTCTGAGCCAACCCAGGTGCGTGTCACACGGCATGCAGAGGTGTGCCACAAACAAGTGACATGTGAGGACAGGTTTGCCCAGGACTCCAACAGATCTGTGCAGTTTTTAAAAATGAAGCTGGCAGCTCTGAATGGTAGAAACAAGCGTGGGGTTTCATTCAGAAGAGGACTAAACTGGCAAGGCTGGTCACCACTCAGCTAAACTGCCCAGACCACGTGTGCTGGCTTGGTCAGACTGCAGCTCCCCTCTCCACTGGGGCACCCCTCAACGAGGAGGTGCACTTGTTCAGACAAGTCTAAAGAGACTCCAAGGCTGACTGGCCCCACACACTCCCCTCTGCAGCCCAGCTGAGGCTTTTGGCCCTAGGTGCTCTCTTCAGAAGTGAAAGACTTGCCTCAGGAGCACCTTGGCAATACAAAGCCCCAGCACAAGATGCTGCTGTGACCCAGGGCGGGGGTCTCAAGGAGACAGGCCCTTCCCCAGAGACCACCTGTGAGCCCCACCATGCCGGATGGCAGAGCTCCAGGCTGCCCAGGGAGGACACCACACTCCCAGTGCTGCTAAAGTGCCAGAGTCTGTATTTTTCACCCAATTCTCAGCCCTGTTTGAGCAGCATCAAGGTTGTGCAGATACGAACGGCTGCCTGGCAGTTTGGATCTGGGACAGCACAGGGGCAGGACTATCCAAGCCTGGAGGAACACACATACCTCGTGCAAGGCAGAGCCCAGCCTCCAGACAGGTTTTTGTTGTCTCCCCACACCAGCTGCCTGAGCTGGGAGAACTCACCTCTCTGGTCATTGAGCCCTTTAGTAGCACAAGTTTGATGCCCGAGAAATTCATAAAAAGGAGACGTTTCATTGTGAGATAATGAACCCGTAAGAGAAATCCACTCAATGAGGAACCTCAGCTCTGGCTTGACACCCCATGTGTGCCAGTCCATGGTGTTCCCAGAGTTAGAAGTCACTGCAGAGGAAGAGAAGTTCCTTCCATATTTGGCAACATACAGGTCCCTTCAGCCACCACCACATGGTGACACCATTGTAGAAGCATCTAGGATGAGTCCTTTGCCTCCCTTGGACGGCCAGACAGCCTAAAGAGAGTCTCCCTCATGGTGTGGAAGCATCTGTCACAGAGGTCAGAGACGTCATCTGATGTCAGGCCTTTGGTCTCTATTGGAGGCAGAACCTCAACCTTGATTTTGCCTGGAAACAAGAGAAGAGCCCATGAGAAACCCACACGTCACAGGGAGCACCATTCTCTGCCCACCCAGGACCCCTGCTCCCCCTGCCTTGGACAGCCCCAGCACAGCCCTCACCCCATCACAGGGCTTCAGGCATCCATCCCTGGCTGCACTGTCTCAGGGGTAAGAGATTGCTCTGGGGATGAGACCCTGCCCTCCAACAGCTGCACCAAGCCGAGTACTTCCTGTGTGCCCCAAACTGACACCCCAGCCAGAGCCTGCCCCTTTCCAAGGCCACTGTGACCAGCTTCCTTGGTCTGCCTGCAGAGAGGTCCCTGCTTTGACAGGTCAGGAGGTAGAGCACACTTGCTTTTTCCCCTAAGCCCTCACCAAATGACTTGGGCTGCACCAGTTACAAGAAGGAGAGGTGGTGTCCAATTTTTAATTAAAACCTCCTTCACCATATTCCAAGTTAACCCAGCCCAGGCTCTGGTGCCAAATGCTTTGAACTGACTCCACACATCTCCCAGGGGACTTCTGCTCACCCCAGCTCCGCTTCCCTCCCACACTCTTGCAAACCAGATATCCACACGGGTATGGCATCAACCCTGGCTCCGAGTGACTGTACAGACCTTCGGGCTGTTTCGTACCTGATGTAAACAGCTTCTTCTTTGGGTTATAGAAGGTGGTGAAGGAGGAATACACCACGGGGATCACTGGGACCTTGGGGAAGAAGAAAAAGAGTTACTTGCACTGCAGAAACTCAGGGCAGGGCAGAGATAAGCAGCAAATCCCATGCAGCAGAGCCGACCTGGCCTGGCTCTCAGACACACAGGGCACACACAGCCCCACAAGCAAGACCCCCTTTCAAAGGCTGGGACAGGCAGGAATCAAACGGGATCAAAACCACTCCCCAGCAGCCCAAGGCACAGGGGCGTTCAAGGCACTAAGGACAAGTTACACTTCAGCCTCAGGTCGGCACTGGCTCTTGGGGCTCCTTGTCCCAAGACAGGCTTCAAAACTCTGGTATTTTCTAACCTGTAAACATCAGAGGATGCCTGTTTCAACAGGCCTTGGCATGCTGTACAAGCACATATTTTGGGCAGGCCAGCTGGTGTGCCTTCAGGTTTTAAGAAAAAGGGTCACCAGTTGCAATCAATTGCCCCAGGGAAGCTTCAGACAGGCAGAGACACAGCCAGGAGGGCAGGCACAGAGTCATTTCAGCTGATAACAGGCATTATCTACAATCGGTGACTCAGGGGGAGTGTTATCAGAGGTGGGTACCATTTCCACTGTCATCCCATCCTTCTGGCAGCTGCCAGCCCCTGCCTTGGTTGCACAACCCCACAGGAATGGGGATGGTACAACACAGGCTACACCCAGGGCTTGGCCAATCGGACCCAGTAAGAGATCTGGCATCTACTCCTTTCTCCAGAATCCCTGCTACACAACCTCTTTTAGGGAAAGCAGTTTTTCCTCAGGCCTGGAGTCATCCCAGCCCTGAGATGCCAAGCAGAGCATGCATGGGAAGGCAAGGCACCCACCTCCTCCCAGCTGCCTCTCACACACCTGGGAGCTGAGCAGGGTGGCTCAGGTTCCAGCAGCACAACTAGGTCTCCAGTGTTCCTGGCACACTGGCCCAGGTCTCTGCCCAGACAAGCACCACCACCCTGCAGGAGCACTGACAGCTCTGGTCCAAAGCCAAGGAGCTGTTTGTCTGCTCCAAGCTCATGGATCTTGACATTTTAGTGAGAGAAGGCATTTAAGACATACCACAAAATGCCATACAGTCATTCCTGCAAGGGACGGAAGAGGCTCTCGGCTCCTGCTGGGCAGTGCTTGTGCTGGAGAACACAGTTCACTTGAGGGCAAATAAACCATCCCACTGCGTGACCAGTCTGCAACGCCACTGTGAAAGCATTCAGGGTCCCTGTGCAGGAGTAAGGTGCTGTTACCTGTGCCTGGACAGCAAGGTGAAATGCTCCCTTCTTGAATGGCAGCAAATCCCCGGTACAGTTCCTTGTGCCCTCTGGGTACACCCACACCTTCACCTGCACATGGAGAAATAAGGCTCTGCTCCAGCAATGCATTTGCAGTGCTCCCCTCCTGCTGGCCAAGCCACCAGCCAGCCTTGCCAAGAGCTGCGGGTGGCTGCAACTTCAGGCAAGCCAGCATCTGGAGTTCCACATGCTCCCCATGCCACCTCAGGATACCCAGACACATGCCACCCCATCAAGTGCCATGGTCACACTCACATTTTCAGCTGTCATAGTGTTGGCCACCTCTGCCATCACCATCTTGGCACTGCTGGTGCTCTTCCTGTTGATGAGGATGACACCACCGAGGTAGATGATGAGCCCCACAGTGCCGGCGTATATCAGCTCCCTCTTGCCCACCTGGACACAGTCATCGGGCAGGATTTCCATCAGCCCTAATGTGACAACACAGGGTGAGATCCAGCAGCCACCACCCCTCATCCTGCACTCAGATGGGACAAGAGACACAACCTGAGGTGGGGAGTACCAGGGATAGGCCAGTGCCTCATTTCTCTGCTGGCTTCTGCTGCCATCAACAGAGCAGAGACTCAGCACAGAGCGGAATCACAGGGGCAGGGTGGCCACAGGTCACAGCGAGACCCCTCAGGAAGCAGGTCACTCCTTGGCCTGGGGGTGCCTGGCTCGTGCCTGGCTGCCTGGCACACTGACACGAGTGCTAAGCCAGCCAGGCAAGGATGTAAAAGGGAGCTGAGAAGCACCTGAAGCTGAGAAGTACCTGGGGTGCTGCACGGGGGTGCGATTGCTCAGAGTGAGGGGAGACCCTTCCTGCAACCAGCACTCAGAGAAAGCTGGACCAGCTGGCACAGACCAGTCAGGGTAAGGGGCTGCTTGGGCAGGAGATGTGAGCAGGATTTCTCTGATGATGATGAGCAAGAGAACTGTTCCCTCCCTCCCATCAGCTCCTCACCCATCATGTCGAGGATGCTCTGGTGGTTGGACACAATGATAGCAGGGCCCTCCACCTCAAAGTTCTCCAGTCCCTTCACCTCAAACCTCAGGCCGAAGAAATACTTGAAGGGCTTGACCACAGATCTGATGATTCTGCAGAAGAGAAAAGCAGTCAGCAGCAGGGCAGGGAGGTGACAGGGTCTGCTATACCCAGGGTGGGTGGAAGGGGACAAGAAGAGCTCTGTGACAGACAGCCTCCCATCTCATTCGCCCTGTGATCCACCCAAGCGTCTGTCCTGTGTGGTCCCACGCGAGGTGAGTCCAGCCTAGTGCAGCTGCAGGAGTCCTGCAAACAGAGGGGAAACCAGAAGCCCTCCAGACCCCAGGAGGGAGAAACACTGGTTTCAATGCTGGATCAAGGACCACTCCTGCTGCCAGTCCTATGCACTCAGTGCTGTTTGTTTCCCCCTGCACTGTGGCTGTAGTCTGCTCTGATGCTACCACTGTTTCCCTCCTGCAACCAGCGCATCCCCAGAAGTTGTTCAAACATTCTCCCAGGAGCTGCCACTCCCCAGCACGCTGGTATTAGCCTGTACACCCGTCACACAAGGATGGCTCTGCCAGTTCTGCTCCTTGTGGTGCTGGAAGATGCTGCTTAACAACACAAACAAACACAGGGTGTCATTACCCCAGCCCAAGAAAGGAGGCGAATGAAGATGAGAAATGCTTCTCTGTACAACGCAAGGATGAGAGCAGCAAACAGGATGCTCCCCATGCAGCCTGGCAGAGGCTAGGTGTCCCCAGCAAACCCATATTCAAGCAAATACCTTTCGCCTGCCAATTCCCTTCCCCAGTGGATATACAGGTCTCTCCACAAAGCTCCCAGCTTTCCTCCCCTGTGCCCGAGGGCTGGGGGCCCAGTGGCAGGAGATGCCAGCAGCTCCACTCGAGCAGGCTGCCGTGCCCTTGCTGAGCACACCCAGCCCAGGCTCGCTGGCCAAGACTCCACCAGCCCACGGGAGCAGGGCTCATCTATGCCACCCCCGACAGGTGGGAGCTGGGGACCCTCCAACTGGGCCAAAGGACAGAGCCAGAAGCTGGCAGCACACAGGGGTTATTTTGGGCAGGGGAGCAGCCATTCACCAGGACAGGAGGCAGAAGAGCTTGCATGTGAACCAAGCTTCTGGGAGCAGCCACCAGCTCTGCTCTGCTCTCCCCTGGAGCAGATTCAGGAGCTGACCTGCCCTCCAAAAAGCATCTGGATGCCCTGCCTCAGGGCCTACCACCTCCCTGGCAGATGGAGGACGGATCTTTCCTCCCTGCAGGAGGAAGCAGAGGGACAGTGTCAGCTTCTTCCCCCAGACAGGGTCCAGCGGGAGGGCTGCACAGCACCATCAGCCTGGGAAGCATCCCTGTCACCCAGGGCAGGAGGTGAGCACCAGTTGGCATCTTACCCTGGCTTGGCAGCAGCTCCCAGCACGTGTTCTCCAAAGTTCTCCCCATGGCTGACATCAATTCTTCAACCACAGGCCTCTGTGAAGGCATCCTTCCCTGGCTTGCTCTGTTGCACAGTGGGGTTCATGTCTCCGTGGGGTGCCCCACCACACAGACTGCTGGGCCCTGGCTTTGACACTGGAGTTCAGGCCAGGCCAATGCCCGCGGATGACACAGCTGAGTGACACTTCAGCTATCAGTCCCCCATCATTCAAACTCACTGCAAAGGTTAGAGCCGCACCCACAGAAAGGACACGGGGAGATGCACAGGCCGCAGAGCTCCTGAGCACCACGGGCCTGCACCGAGCTCCCAGGAGTGCAGTTCAGGTGAGGAGACAAGGGAGGACAAGCAAGGTGACACAAGACAGTCAGGTCATGGTGGATGCCATGCCACAAGACTGACCTAAATCCCACTTCTCCTCCCTTCTGACGGCCAACCAAGAATGAGGTCACTGCTCTGGAAGTCACACTGCTCAGTAGCTGCCGGGAGAGGCTGGTTACACATTACTCAAGAGCAACCATCCAACTTCCTCCTGCCAGTAAGGAGCGAGCGTTTCCTTGCACAAGATGTGGCCTGAGCCACTGAAAGAGGCAAAGGAGCAGAGCTCAGAGGAAGCAAAGAAGAACCAGGTGACCAGCAGCCCTGCTGAGGTGGCCACGTCATCCATGGGGTTAAGCAGATGGATCCTGCTCCCCTTCAACCCTGCAAGCAGCTTCTCTGCCGGTATGAATGATCCTGACTTGGTGAGGTCACAGCTGCAGATAGCTGTAAGTCTAATGCGCTTATTGTCAGACACAAGGAAAGAATAGAAAAATAAGAGGGAATGTGCCTTCTCAGTGCATCTGTAACAGCCTGAGTCTGATATCCAGCAGCCCCAGCTTCACGTGCTCTGCTCCACAGCCTGTGAAAGGGGCCTTTTCAGGATCCTCTGATTTTCAAGGACTAATGAAGTGTGCTGACCAGATTGGAAGCTCTTGCAAGAGGTTTCACCGCTAGATAAACAGCTCTATCTCTATCAGACACAGAGGGCAACCTCTTCCAAGTCACACCAGCTTGGCACTGGATCCAGGAGCACAGCAAGGTCGGGGTGCTCCGCGCCAGGCAGTGACACTGTTATCACTGTCTGTCCACCAGCGTGTGCTCTGCTCCAATCCCCTTCCTGGAGCCAGAATAAGCACACTGAGATGCTGCAGAAACAGAGCTTGCTGGATCACCTCAACCACAGATGTCCCAGGGGTTGGGTGGAATACATCACCAGGATCATCAGCCTGTGCCAGCACACAGAAAGGATGGGTTCAATTTACAGGAAAAGGGCTGTTCTAGCCAAAATTCAGCTCTGAGTTTCAACATGAGGAGTTGTCCAGTGCAAGGAGTTCTTGTTCCCAAAGACTTCCTTAAGTTTACAAGAGATTTACAAAGTTTTAAGGGTGGGGAAGCAAAAGAAAGTGTCTCCATAACATCATAAGCTTTCCCAGCTGCAAAGCTGGTTGCACATCAGAAAGCTGCTCCTGAGTGAGCCAAGGCAACCAAAGCCAAAGACAGAGCCAGGCTGGAAATCCCAGAGCAGATTGCTGTTTCCAATGACTGCACCCACAGCACCAGAGCGGCTCGCAGACCACTGTTTGGGTGGGCAGGGCAGAGCCCACAAAGCAGCACCGCGGTGCCCTGCATCCATCCGCTTGCTCCACCCTGAGCCCTGCCTGCAAGAGCCACACGGCAAAGCAAAGTCCAGCTCCGCCAGCTGAGACGCTGCCCAACCTTTGATCCAAAAGGATGGACAAATGCAACAGGGCTCCCCTTTCCCCCCCACCCACATAACTCAGCCTGGACACGGATAGTTAGAGTAAAAAGCTGCCTTTGGGAGAGCAAAGCAAGAAGCCCAAGTTCTCCTGTGCTGTCAGGAGTGCCAGCTCTGCCCTCAAAATGTGCCTTCACATGTAGAGGAGCTGCTCTTCTCCAGCAGCAACCCGGTCACCATCCCAGGCACCCTCTCAGAGGACACACACACACACAGAGCATGGCCTGAAGTACAGACACACACAGAGAGCACGGCCTGAAGGACAGA